TAAGCTTCGATGACTAAGGAATAAGCTTCGATGACTAAGGAATAAGCTTCGATGACTAAGGAATAAGCTTCGATGAACAAGGAATAAGCTTCGACGACTAAGGAATAAGCTTCGATGACTAAGGAAACTATATGGGAAGCTTCGATGACTAAGGAATAAGCTTCGATGACTAAGGAATAAGCTTCGATGACTAAGGAATAAGCTTCGATGACTAAGGAATAAGCTTCGCTGACCAAGGATAACAGCCACAGTCTCATTATAACCTCAAAATAAACTTCAACAATCTCCTAAGATAATCACAATCATCTGACTTTTTAAATTACCTAACACTGCAAGTAATTTTTTTGATCTAACTCCTGAGGCCGAGTCATTCCATTTTCTCATAACGTTTTAGAAAGCCTTAATCTATGACCTTTCTTCTTCAGCTCTCTCCTAAGGCAGTCACAACAGTTTTATAACGTGTTAAATATGTTGAACAAGTCAGGTAGCTGACTTGTACAGCCCAGGGGCTACAGCCAGCATCATTGTCTACTCCTGTGGTTGTCAGGGAAGCCTCCGATTACACTTATCTCTGACATCACACTCGTTACCTCCACAGCTGACATCAGTTTCCACATCTCTGATCTCTGCCTCTACGTATCTCCCAGCCCTTGTTTGCTCTCAATATTTCATTGTTTACCCGTGAATGGTTGATGTACATTGTTTACCTCCTTGTTCACCCACTTTGTTCCTGCTGTTGAATTTCTCACTTTCTCTTATATAATGTATTTTCGTTTCCATTGTTCTCCCTCTTACGTTATTTTACTCTTTCGTTCGTGTCCTTGACACCCATTTCCATGTCCTCCAATACTTTTTTTTTCATGTCGTCCCCATTTTTGACATTTCATCTATCTCATCATACGTAGACAGTGTATAATATAAACCAGTTTACGACTGGAATGAAAAGAATGACTAATGAATGAAGCTTCAGAAAGGAAGAAAAGCACTTGTTGGTTTATTAAATGAAAAGAATGACTAATGAATGAAGCTTCAGAAAGGAAGAAAAGCACTTGCTTGGTTTATTAAATGAAAAGAATGACTAATGAATGAAGCTTCAGAATGGAAGAAAAGCACTTGTTTGGTTTATTAAATGAAAAGAATGACTAATGAATGAAGCTTCAGAAAGGAAGAAAAGCACTTGCTTGGTTTATTAAATGAAAAGAATGACTAATGAATGAAGCTTCAGAAAGGAAGAAAAGCACTTGTTTGGTTTATTAAATGAAAAGAATGACTAATGAATGAAGCTTCAGAAAGGAAGAAAAGCACTTGCTTGGTTTATTAAATGAAAAGAATGACTAATGAATGAAGCTTCAGAATGGAAGAAAAGCACTTGCTTGGTTTATTAAATAAGATCGACTAATGAATGAAGTTCAAAGGTAAAGCTTTCTGTAAAATAAAGAATACTATTGAATGAAGTTCAGATAAAAAATACACTTTTGTTTATCTTATGTAAAAGATACTAATGAATGAATATCAGAAGGGAAACACTTGTGCTTTATTAAAAATGAAATTAAATGACTCATTAAAGAGTTCAAGAAAGGAGAAACACTGTGGTTATTAATGGGCAGAAAACTATGAATGAAGTTAGAGGAAACGAGCCCGATTGGTTTTTAAAAAGATGCACATGATGTGTGAGCTAGAACGAGTCACTTTTGTTGAAAAACTCTTGATGAGCTTCAAGAGAAAACACGACTGAAAATAAAGACTGACTATAATACTGAGCAACAAACACTTGTACTGTTATTAATTCTCACTAATAGCTACTATCTACTTAATACTGTGAATAATACTCTATTTACATGTAAGTTGCCTTATAATCTCATACTACTTTTTTCCTTGTTTAAATCAACTATCGGATTATATCTGACGGCCACTTGTCCACTAAAAAAAAAAAAACGCAATAACGTGATAGAAGACGGGTACACACAGTACCGCCATAGAAGATGAGGAACGTACGACGACGTTTATCGGTCCAGACTTGGGAATCCTTACCAATGTCAACATCTTATCGAACACGAAGAGAATATATACTATGCCTAGACTGTAGTATTATATAGTGTTGCTACTATTCATGGTATGTGAGTAATTATGGTTTATATTGCTGACCCATCAAATACTAAGAAACATGCATTGCAAGTGACAAATAACAAAGAAAAATACCGTGAAGGAACAAATACCCAGGCAGAAACCCACATGAGAAAGAGGATACGACGAAGGGGATGAAGTTAAAGTCACATAACGAAAAGAGAGGAGGATATTACAGGCCAGGAGGTGTTGAGTTTGAGCATGTGGTGTTAGTGTGGTGAGGCAGTAATGGTAGTGGTGGAGGTAGTAATGGTAGTGGTGGAGCCAGTCAAATACTAAGAAAGAGCATTGCAAGGGAGCAAGAACACAGGAGGGGAAATAATGAAGAAACAAATACCCAAGGCAGACAACCCAATGGAGAAAGAGGAAAGAGGAAAGGGGAAGAGGGAGAAGAAGAAAAAGGAGGAATCAGGTTAAGTCACGGGTGTTCTGAAGTTTGGAGCATTTTACAATGTAGTGAGAAAAGAAAGCATCTACATAGACGAAGCCAGGACTAAGATTCATACAAGGAAAGTTGTGTATTAGGAAGGATTCAACCAGACGTCGACTGTGAAAGCTGGAAGTAGGGAAGACAGTTTTAGCAGAAGACCAGTCAATAGGATGACTGTGATCTCTGACATGACAGAAAAGAGCATTGTCGGTGTCGGCAAGCCTAATACTACTTTTGTGCTCCCTAAGTCTGCAGAAAGAGATAGGCCAGTTTCTCCAAAGTATTGAAGAGGGCAGGAGGAACAAGAAATAGAGTAGACACCAGGAGCATCTGTAGAGAGAGGAGAGGTATGAACTAGATTAGTGCGATGAGTGTTAGTCTGGCGGAAAGTAAGTTTGATGTCTAAGGAACGGAGAGAGTTGTTGAGATTAGAAAGACCGGAAATGTAGAGAAGGCAGATGACAGAAGAGTTACCAGGAGCAGAGAGTTTGGGAGAGAAGTCCGTTTAGCACGTGAGAAGGCAGAGTCTATGAAATGGGAAGGGTAGCCAAGACAGGAAAGTGAATTATGAAGAGTGGAAATTTCTGATTCAGGAATATCTGAATCAGAAATCCTCTTTGTTAGTGACTTCGTAAATGGTCTAAGTCGAACCGAAACGTCGTCGTAAGCTTCTCTCTTCTATGTACGAGTTATTTGTGTATTTCTTGCCCAAGTTGTGACGGCAATGGTCCTGGAGGGATCGAAACGTCGTCGTAAGATTTCTCTCCTAAGTGTGGTGAATCGTTTCAGCCACTGTATTGTGACTTTTCATATTTTATACTACGGCCTGTAAACGTCACATCAAGACTTGCTGATAAAACCTTACCAGTCACTACGTCTCCAAAGTTCACACCGGAAAAGGGTTTTAGTTATCCTTCGGAAGATAACTACTGTGGGAACTGTAAGGTCTTCTGTTACACGTATCCTTCACTCTCTCTCTTTCTCTCTCTCTGTTTTCATCAGAAGTCAATTGAAGGAAGTGATCATCACTGCTTCCGTGGTCACGCGTACTTTTGCTGGTCTGAATTCTTCCAGTTTCCTTTTTTCTCAGGTACCAATGTTTATCACCTTACACTTGTAGTATTGGTAGCTGAAATTACCTAGAATGGAAATGTTTTTCGGCTTCCTTAGCCGTTCTTTAACAGTGTCTTTCGAGTTTTTTTGATGTTTTCTAGCACCTCTTTGATATGGTCTAACAACAGTGCCCTTCTAGAAGCTCGCTATATAACTCTGTGAAGACCTCTGAATCTAAGCTCATCTCGTGCTGCTGTGGTCAAGTATTGCCTCAGGTTAATCTTCTTTTGAGAAATGGCTTGGTGATACGGCCAAAATATAGAAAAAATCACTTACGTACAGTTCAGGCCATTGAAGAAGTCACTCGTGTTGAAAAGTTTCCTTTAGTAAATGTCCCGAACTGTACATAAGTGTCTGTACTCACAGTGTCCCTCCTTTTCTTCCCTCGGAACAAAACGGCACAATACCGTGACTAGAACATTATATTAATATCCCGAACAGAGGAAAGAGTAGCTTACGACAACGTTGCGGTCAGACAATGGTCCAAATCGGACCGAAACGTCGTCGTAAGCTCCTCTCTCTCCTATGTGCAGTTGTCTGTGTACTGCTCGACACCCAGTCTGATGCTTGGACGGTGTTATCGCTGCAGGTAAGACACGTAGACGAACTTCTCGCAATAAACGAAAGTAATTTCCTGTGAAGTTCGGAAAACTATAATGGAATTAGAAATGAGAAAGATGGGAAAAAAAAGGATTGTGTTTAGAAGAATGTAAAATTGTTTTTGCAGAAGATCGTGACAAGAAGATGAACCTGTGACCTCAGACAACACGCACACATGTACGTATGCACGTACTAGTGCACGCACGTGCACACGTGGGGTTACGGGGAGCTGGATCCAAGAGCTGTTGCTCAGAAAATAGGAATTAAAATAAGGTGATTACACCCCACACACACACACACAACACACACACACACACACACACACACACACACACACACACACACACACACACACACACACACACACACACACACAACACACACACACACACACACACACACACACAGTACACAAACACACACACAGTACACAAACATACACACACATACACACAGAGTACACACACACACAGTACACACACAATACACACGCACACAGTACACAATACACACACACACAGTACACATACATAGTACACACAGTACACACACACACACACACATACATACACACACGCACCACACACACACACACACACACACACACACACACACACACACACACAACACACACACACACACACACACACACACACACACACACTAACACACACACACACATTAACACACACACACACACACATACACACACACTAACGCACACAATACTTACCACTGGCCTGAGGTAGTCATTCCGTTGTTTAAGAGTATGTAGAGAGGAGAGTGACCTTACCCACAAGGGTGCACGCTGGTGTCCTTCCAGTTTTACTTTGTTTCCCTTCCTCTCTTACGCTTCCAGTTTCTGCCACTTCCCTTATTTATCAAGCTTTCTTACACATTTTAAAATGTAACATCATATCCCAGCGTCCACCACGACCTTGGAAAAGACGACCTGATTTTGGAAAAAAAAAATATTGGTAATCACATTATATTCACTTTCTGTTTGACTTCACTTATGAATTCGACCGTCAGTCTGAAGAAATCGCTTTACGGGAATATTGTAATATCCCCGGAAGTCTTTAAGGCGTCGCTAAGACCACAGGATGGGAAATGTCAGTCAGAAGTTGGCTGGTTCCAGTCTTGCTGGGGGAGGTCGTGGGCGACGCAAGGAATACCTTTCTCCACGACGCCAGACCAGGCACTGGCTCGCTGCCTGGCTCACAGACCACCTTCACCAGCCATGCGGCACTCCCCCCATAACCACCTCCCCGTCTCCTGCTCCTCCAGAGGAGGTGCCACCGCCTTGCTTACAGTCTTAAGAACATTCAAAAGTTTATTCATTTTTATGCGGTGCAATTGAACATTAGAAGGCACAGAAGAAAGTCGCAAGTATGCAATGCATTTCGGGCGCTTATGTTCCACTCAGTTGCAAGATCTGGAAAGGTGAAATATATGGACTAGTAGCCTTACGCACCCTGCTGCCCCTATCTACCTAGCAGTAAAAGAAAGGTACTTGTGTATAAGTCGACTGTTATGGGTCGCAGCCGGTGAAAAATGTGTTGGAAAACTTCAGTCTTGCTGGAATATCATACAGTGCGTAAGAAAACTCCAGTATCTGCTGGAAGTTTTGGGGCCAGGAGCTGAGTCTCGACCCCTGCAACCACAATTACGTGAGTATACACACACACACACACACACACACACACACACACACACACACACACACACACACACACACACACACACACACACACACACAAACATTCACATACACATACGCACACATAAACACACATACGCACTCATACACACACGTACACATACTCAGACAAACCTAACACATTAGCACATAAACCCCCCCACACACACATACACACACACACACACACACACACACACACGTGCGTACACACATGCACACACACACACACACGTTTTTACACAAAGCTGAAGGAGCTACAGCATCCTAACAGGAAAAAAAATTATGGGATTTCTAAAGGGAGGGCGTAAAGGCAAGGGAACCGAGGATGGCTGGTCAGAAAAAGAAGAATGGGTAGAAAGGCTCAAGAAAGAAATAGGTCAAGAATGGGAAAAAAGGTTAAATGAGTTTTGCAATAACATGTTAGAAAAGTTATCTGCAGAGAGCAAGAAGTGGGTATCACAAGCTGTAGCAGCTGAGGCAAAGATACAGAGAGTAGAAGGTGCAAGGCGACTGAAAATGGAGCATTAACAGGCAGCAAGTGGACTGAAGGGGGGAGGAGCAGATGGAGCTAAAAAATCTTTTGCAGAAGCAATATTAGACCATCAGAGTGTCTGGGAGATAATAAGGGAAACAACAAAGAAGATGCTTAGGTCAGATCCAGAGATATGGAGGGAAGGAATTGGGAAGAAGAGAGGGAGAGGTCATTAATTATTCATGGGCTTCAGGAGGCTGAAGGGAAGACCTAGGTTGAAAGAAAGCATTGGGAGGAAAAAGAGACTGAGAGCATCATTGTAATAACAGGAGAGCAGGACATGTCTCAGGTAGAAAATTTTCACAGACTGGGGGAATCTTCAAGGAAAAAAAATTGACCACTCAAATTGACATTAAAGACGGAAGTGGTATGGAACAGGATACTACAACAAGAAGCCACTGTTAATGGACTCTTAAGAATATCAACAAGTGCACCTCAATCGAGACAGAACACAAAAAGAAAGGGAACAACTGAGAATGAGAACAAGACAAAACCAGTGGAAGGAAAGAGAGACGGGACAGGCAACGACAGACAGGAAAGCTCAGCCTTTGGGGGATCAAACACAAATGCTTACAGAATTCATTCAACCCCTGCCACTCCATATCAACCAAACAAAATAACCAGAAACAAATTACAGTTCATAGCCCTTACTTCCCTAAGCACTAATTTCATAATCACAGTAGCCTCCCATAATATTCCACCCTGCCTCCTACCCCTCCAGCCTGTACCTTCCTCTTCCATCTCCAAAAATGCAGTAATGGAAAGGAAGCTAAAGGTATGGTACACCAATGCAGATGGTATAACAAATAAGAGTGAAGAGTGGCAAGAAAGAATAAGTGATGCAACACCTGACATCATAGCACTAACAGAGACAAAACTTACAGGGATGATAACAGATGCAATCTTTCCACGTGGATATCAGATCCTGAGGAAAGACAGAAAGAACAGAGGAGAGGGAGGAGTAACACTGCCCATCAAAAACCAGTGGAATTTTGAGGAAATGGGAGGAATGGACAGAAAGGAAACAGTCGACTTCACTGTAGGAACACTTCAGTCTGGGGGTCCAAAGGTGATGATAACAGTGATGTATAACCTACCCTGAACTGCAGGAGGCCAAGACAAGAATATGATGAGTGCAATAGGGACATGGTGGATACACTAGCAGAAGTGGCCAGGAGGGCTCATACGGGTAGGACAAAATTACTCATAATAGGAGATTTCAATCATATAGAAATTGACTGGGAAAACCTAGAGCCACATGGGGGACCAGAAACATGGAGGGCTAAGATGCTGGAGACTGTATTCGATAACTTCATGCACCAACATGTTAGGGATACAACCAGAGAGAGAGGAGAGGATGTTGCAGCAAGGCTGGATCTCGTATTCACCTTGAATAGTTCAGACATAGGGGATATCACACACGAAAGGCCCCTTGGAGCTAGTGAACATGATGTCCTGAGCTTTGAATACCTTGTAGAGTTAACAGTAGAGAATACAGCAGCACGAGAAGAACGAGACAAGCCGAACTTCAAAAAAGGGGACTACATAGGCATGAGAAGTTTTCTGCATGAAGTGCAGTGGGAAAGAGAACTAGAGGGAAAGACAGTAGATGAAATGATGGAGCCAGTGACCACTAAGTGCAGGGAGGCAGGGAAGTTCATACCAAAGGGTAACAGAAAAAAATGGTAAGACCAGAGAGAGCCCATGATTTAACTGGAGGTGTAAAGAGGCCAAAGCCAAGTGTGCTAGAGCATGGGAAAGGTATAGAAGGCAAAGAACTCAATAAAACAAGGAGTCGAGCAGAAGAACCAGAAGCGAATATGCAGGGATAAGGAGAGAGGCCCAGAGGCAATACGAGAACGACATAGCATCAAAAGCCAAATCTGAACCAAAGTTGTTATACAGTCACATTAGGAGAAAAACAACAGTCAAGGACCAGGTAATCAGGCTGAGGAAAGAAGGAGGGAAGCTGACGAAGAGTGACCAAGAGGTATGTGATGAACTAAACAAAAGATTTAGAAAAGTATTCACAATAGAGTCAGGAATACTTCCAGCAAACTGTGGAGGTAGGGTGCACCAGCAGGTGCTGGATACAACACGCATAACCAAGGAAGAGGTGAAGAAACTGCTAGACGAACTCGATACCTCAAAGGCGGTGGGTCCAGATAACATATCTCCATGGATACTGAGAGAGGGAGCAGAGGAACTGTGTGTGCCGCTAGCGGAAACTTTCAGTAAATCTATCGAAACTGGGCAATTGCCTGAGGCGTGGAAGACAGCACATGTAGCTCCAATTTTTAACAAAGGAGACAGACAGGCAGTGTTAAACTACAGACCATTGTCACTAACTTGTACAGTATGTATAGTCATGGAAAAGATTGTCAGAAGAGTGGTGGAACACACTGAAAAGATTGGGCTCATACATGACAATCAGCACGGCTTCAGATGGGAAATCCTGTGTCACAAATCTTCTTGAGTTCTACGATAAGGTAACAGAAGTAAGACAGGAGAGAGAGAGATGGGTAGATTGCATCCTTTTGGATTGCAAGAAGGCTTTTGACACAGTACCACACAAGAGACTGGTGCAAAAATTAGAGGAGCAGGCAGGAATAATAGGGAAAGTACTGCAATGGATCAGGGAATACCTGACAGGAAGGAAACAACGAGTGTTGGTACGTGATGAAGTGTCGGAGTGGGCGCATGTGTCGAGCGGGGCTCCACAAGGATCAGTCCTACGTCCGGTGCTGTTTCTTGTATACGTGAATGACATGATGGAAGGAATAGATTCAGAAGTGTCACTGTTCGCTGATGATGTGAAACTGATGAGAAGAATACAAGCGGGCGAAGATCAGTTAAGATTACAAGGGGATCTGGACAGACTACAAGTCTGGTCCGAAAAATGGCTTCTAGAGCTTAACTCCAGTAAGTGCAAAGTTATGAAGATTGGGGAAGGACACAGAAGACCGCAGACGGAGTACAGGTTAGGGGATCAAATGCTGCAAACGTCACTTAAGGAAAAGGATCTTGGGGTAAGCATTATAACGAACATGTCCCATGAGGCACACATCAGTCAAATAACTGCTGCAGCATATAGGCGCTTGGCAAACCTGAGATTAGCATTTAGACATCAGAGTAAAGGAATCATTCACGACATTGTACACCGTGTAAGTCAGGCCTATACTGGAGTATGCAGCACCAGAATGGTACCTACACCTAGTCAAACACGTCACGAAATTGGAGAGAGTGCAAAAATTTGCAACAAGATTAGTTCCGGAACCGAGGAGAGGCTAGGGGAACTCAACCTAATGACACTAGAAGATAGGAGGGACAGGGGGGGAACACATGGCAGCGACGTGTAAAATACAGAGAAGAACTGACAAGGTGGACAGGGCTCGAATGTTTCAGGGATGGGATTCAGGAACAAGAGGGCCACAACTGGAAGCTGATAACCCAGATGAGTCATAGGTATGTTAGGAAGTATTTCTTTAGCCTTAGAGTTGTCAGGAAGTGGAATAATCTGGAGAGTGAAGTAATGGAAGCAAGTTCCATACATAACTTTAAGAAGAGGTATGATAAAGCTCATGGAGGAGGGAGAGAGTGATTTAGAATCGACCTGTGAAGAGGCGGGGGCCAGGAGATGTGAATCGACCCCTGCAACCCTAACTAGGTGAGTACACACACACACACACACACACACACACACACACCCATTTTTAAAAAAGGAGACAGAAAAGAGGCACTAAACTATAGACCTGTGTCATTGACGTGTATAGTATGCAAAATTATGGAGAAGATTATCAGGAGGAGAGTGGTGGAGCACCTGGAACGGAACAGGAGTATAAATGCCAACCAGCACGGATTCACGGAAGGCAAATCCTGTGTCACAAACCTTCTGGAGTTTTATGATAAAATAACAGAAGTAAGACAAGAGAGAGAGGGGTGGGTTGATTGCATCTTCTTGGACTGCAAGAAGGCCTT